GAGAGATGAATGAAGCAAACTAATGATTAGTCGAGAATTCAGAGATTAAATCAAATTCAAGTAGTTTCCTTGGCAGATTGATTTATTATGTCTGTAAGATTTTTGAGATACCCATGATACTGAAGAGGACTTTTTGTTGTGGCAATTTTGAGTTGTCTCCCTTTCAACATGTATTTCAAGAACAGACTTGTAAAACTCCACACTTAATTCCTATTTTACTTGTCTGTAATAGCAGCAGTATCTGCATTAGACATTGAGTCAGACCTAAAAATAATTGCATGAAGTTTGTGATTTTAAAAAATTGAAATGAAAAATATCAGACTTTATTTTAATTATAGTGTTCAGAATTAAAACACTCAAAAAAAGAAATTAAGTGGCCAATTTATTGAAAACGATGCATGATACCAGTTGTATTAAGTGGAAATTCAACATTACCCACTTAACTTCTTAATATATTACTTCCTCTTGGTACCACTGTGTGTAGTAATAATACAACTAAATGTAACAAATGTGTAACTGAAAGCAGGTTTTGCAAGAAAAAGCTAAACAGCCTTTTTTCTGAGAAATCCCAGTATTTTTTCTTAATTACAGAAAATGGATTGTTCAATTAATTTCCTGGTCACGATTTGATACTGTTCACTAAAGGTTTCAATCAGCTTCAATTATAACTATTATTTTGGAAATTTTTGTCCATTTTGAACTAGAAAGCACTGACCAACCCCAAACTGTTTCAGATAAGATGAACTCTGTCTAGAATATGCCCATGTCATTAATCACAGAGGGAGAACTGCTACAGTGTTAATGGATTCTCTCATCTGGTTCAGGGGCAAACAAGGACAGTATGGCTCGTGCATTCAAAGGGCAATAACTCTTACATTGACTTCCTTAAGCTGTCACCATTGCATTGTGTTTGTTTCTTTGATTAATGAAATGTAGCAGAAAGGTTTTTACAGTTGAAATGTCAATTATTCATAGTTTGTCAGCTGGCTGCAATCTGGAAAAAGATATTGTAATTGTTGGTGTTAGATAATTTGGTTTTATATTAAAGTTCCTTGTTTTTTAAAGAAGGATCTCTCTTTTTAAATCTGGTTGATTCCAGCATTTTTATCAATGTCTCATTAATTTGTATTTCATTTTTGGCTGAGTAATATCCTTTCCTACATATTTCATAATGCATTAAGTATTTTATCATTAGGTACATACCTAAAATAGAAATGAAATGAGAAACACACATCTTTGTGTGCAATAAATACACACTTTGATCTGTAGCTCTCTCTTCGTCCATCTGGGCCCACTTTTTTCAGACCAGTGAGCTACAGAGCTGAAGCTACCTCTTACTCTGCTTAATTCATTTACCAAACAAAGTGTTTGCATGCATTTAAGCTTTATTGATTGTAATTTGTCCATTGTCTGTTGTTGTCTGTAAATTTCTCACAATTTCATCTTCTTCTCAAGAACCACTGGGCCAATATTTCAACCAAACATGGCACAGAGCATCCTTTGGTAAATGGTTTCAAGTTTGTTCAAATGAAGGGCTCCTGTCCTATTTCAAGAGGAGATATTTAAAGAATAAATTAAAATTAATGGCAAATTTCAAAATTCTTCTTCAATCTCAAGAACTATTGGTCTAGAAAAGATGAAACCAGTATGTGAAACCTTCATTAAATAAAGTAGATTCAATTTTGTTCAAATCCTGACCCCCGAGGATAGAGTATGTCCACAGTAAGACATCAAACTTTTACAAAGGAATATAGAGAAAATGAAAATCTTTAATAATGTTCTCCTTACCAATTCATGATTTAAGTCATTTAAATATGGAAGCATCCTCAAGTAGTGTAGATTCAATTTTGTTCAAATTATGACCCCCAGGGGTAGGGCTGGGCCACAATAGGAGATTAAAATTCAACATAGGAATATATTTTAACAAATCTCCTTCTCAAGAACAGCAAAGCCATGATAAGTCATATAAATATGGAAGCACCATCAGGTAGAGTAGATTGAAGTTAGTTCAAATCCCCCCCCCCCCCCTCCCGGGCAGGGAAGGGCCAAATTTTTACATGGGAATATATAGGGGGAAAAATCTTTACAAATCTGAAGAAGAACAGCAAAGCAATGATTAGCCATATTTATATGGAAGCATCCTCAGGTAGTGTAGATTCAAGTTTGTTCAAATCATGTCCCAAGGGGGTAGGGTGGGGCCACAATAGGAGGTCAAAGTTCTACATAGAAATTTATGTGAAAAATCTTTAAAATTCTTCTTATGAACAGCAAAGTCATTATTAGTCATATTGCTCTGCAAGCATCCTCCATAGTTTACATTCTTATTTGCTCAGATCAGGGCCCTTGGGAATAGGTTGAGGCTACAATAGCTAGGGGATTAGAGTTTTACAAAAGAATATATAGGAAGAAATCTTTTCAAGAATGACAAGACCACACTAAATCATAATAAAAAGCAGAACATACCTAAGTTATGTGGAATAATATTTTTCATTATAAGCCCTAGGATTAGGGTTGGGCCAAAATCAGAGATTCAAGTTTTACATAACGCATGTGTTCAGGGGGAAAATCTACTACAGAGGCAACAGGGCTATGTTGATTGTATTGATATTGAAACTTCCCAGTGTTGTGTGGATTCAGCTTTGACTAAATCATAGCTCTCTTAGGTCTAGATTTAGTCAACATTAGTCAAAATTTTTATGAAATTAAAGAGGGAAATTTAAAAAAAAAAAATCAGATAATGAAGAACAACAGGACCAAAGTGACTCAGGTGTGCATTTTGACCCATGGGCCTCCTTTTTCTATCAGTACTTAATACTTAAGCTTTTGAGATCAGAGAGTTCCTTGCAGTGAATTTTCCTAACCCCTCCTGACACATCTATGCACATGCACCCTTGAATATGTCTGGCTTTTCAGTATTACATAAATCGTTTTGTATTTGAGGTAAATTCATAGACCAAACCAATGTATGCGTAATGAACATTTTTTGTATACAGTGTATATACAAACACACATGAAAAAAAAGGGCTTGAATGGTAAATTGAATGTATCTAGACATATCTTAATTAACATACGTGTGAAAACTATTTGGAAGCAAAATGAACAGTTTAAGCAGTTTGTCATCTTGGTAGTGGACAAAATGAAATCAATTTACAAGACAGTAAATTACTCTCAGAGAAGTAAACGGATCAGATAGAATTGTCAGATACCCACCAATTAGATTACTGCTTTTCATATGAGAGAGGGGGGCCGGTGCCTCTGTTTTAATGTTTGATAGAATCTAATGGTTTGACTTGTGACATCTTTATACAGAGCCATATGTCACTGGTAAAAAGTGTCCCGAGCTATCGATTTTCAGATGCCCTGAAGGAGGATGTGAAATTTACTATGAAATTAGTTGTTTCATGTCAGATTGAGGCAGTCCACGAAAACTCTATTTCAGATTTGTTTGTTTTTTGTTTTTGTTTTAGTATCAGGTTTCTTAAAGCTTTTAATAAATCCATAAGGTCTCAATTAATTCCACTGATGGAAATTTTATGAAGAAATTATTTGGGGAAAAATTTATCAATAATATTGATATTGTTTGACTTTTTATTAATAAACACAAAAAAAAAAGTTACAATGTAATGGCTGGTTAATTATGATGTTTAGTCATCCTGAACCAACCACGATACCTGGCCTATGAAATGTACCATCAAACAATGTAGCCTTTGATCTGCTAATATCGCGTAATAATTGTACGGATTTTATGATGAGCAATCCATGGTTTTGACCAGGTTTTTCTAATTTTCTAGTGTTTTCTACAGATATTAATAATGTGAAGTAATTAAACCTTTCATACAGATGCCCTGCTACCGAAAATGCCACCTAGAGTGAGCATCATTCTGTTTCCTGGTGAACATCTGAAGTTTTTTACTCACCAGATAAAAAGCAAGAAAAATTGTTCTCTCATTAAGTGCTCTTAATGAATTACGAGTTGTGAGTCTTGAATCTTGTATGTACCTCTGAATCATTGATATCATTCAAAGAGCGAAATCCAAGATAAACTTTCAGTGCATAAATTATTGAAAAGTGAAAAAGATCTATCACTTTAATGTGGTGGGATATTGGAGATACTCGGCTGTGATAGAGACATTGTAGCCGCATTATAGAGACCAACGTTAAAATATTCTTGGAGAAATTGGCATGTAGAAGTCGGAATCATTTATGTCAGATGGGAAACATTGTGCATATGCATTAAGGGTCCTCCAGCATGGATGGCAATAGTTCTTATTGAAACATCAATGATCTGCATTCTATCTGAAGACTCCAGTGACATATAGCAGTTGTATCTTGTTCATCAGATTCAGAAATATTGACAAATTTTAAACAGAATTTACTGTTATTAGTTCATTCTAATGTGATTGGATGCTTGTCAATTTTGCCTGCATTTTCTGTTTGTGTCGAGGCTTCAGAAAAGATTACATTTTCCTGTATAAAATCTACACTGGCGTCTTCAGTTCTGAAATCTATACCGGCATTGTCTGTGGATCTTATTTTTGCATTTAAGCTGTAGAGAATGATGCCATCTTGTGGAAGTTAGAAATTTAATTAATTTACTAGAAGAGAAGACTCTAAGTGTCTCTTTAAAATTGAATTAGCAGTGCTGTAATAGTTTGGAATTATTGAAAAATGGGATCATCATCAAGTCATCCTGTTCAATCTGAACACAGCGAACAGTTTAATACTTTTTTTAATGAAAAATTCAAAATTAAGGTTTGTATATCATGAAATGTGTCAATGTGGATTATTTGTTGATAAACATGTATAGGGGTTTTGTTAAATGTGTGAATTAAAGATAATTTCTCTGACTTTACTAAAATTATAATGTCTTTAAAATGGAAATGGTGTGTTTTATGCACTTACATGAAACATGTCTTGCTTAGTTAGAGGACAAGCATGGACTTCTCCAAAAAACTTTGTTTCAGCAGCTTGAATTCATTATTGTTTTTGTCTTTTTTCAGATATACACAGACTGGGCTAACCATTACTTAGAGAAAGCCAAAAACAAACACACAATTAGTGACCTCCAGCAAGATGTGTCAGATGGGGTCCTGTTAGCTGAGGTCATTGAAGCTGTCAGTAAGTATTGAAAATCCATTATAAAATGTCTTACTGAAAGTCAGAATTCAGAAATTCTGCAGAATTCGGCAATGGCTTTTGAATTAAGCTACTTGCAATTATTTTAATTATCCAGTATTGCATGGCAAATGAGACTTGATTTATAGTACAGTTAAACCTCGTTATCTCGAACTCAATGGGACTAATAAAATCTGAGGGTTTGAGATATTAAGGTTCAAATACTGAAGAAATATGTGATTAAGACTTTCAAATCACTTCAACATATCCATGGTATTCAAGATATCTATGTTCGAGATACTGAAGTTCAACTGTATTTGTATTTCTGAGTTTGGCACAGAGAATGATCGATTATTGAGTTAACAAATTCAGCAATTATTGCTAAATTTGGCAACTGACACTGAAATCTGACTTTTGCAATATTGTCACAAAGTCCAGTTTGATATCTTTAAGCTGAAAAAAATATGTGAAAGATAGATATATGGTTTTTGAAAGACAGGATATCGTTGAGTAATATGTGAACCTAACATTTCATTTGATCACATGAAGTTAGCAGAAAACTTGTAATTCCTGAAGCTTTAAAGCTAAAACTTGTAGAGTTGCTAGTTCATTAACTGCCATCATGAGAAGGAACCCTACAGATTTTGTAATATATATCAAAGCTTGCTACTACATGTCCCACAACTAGTCATTCCTAATGGCCAGATTTGTACCTCTGTAGAATAATGTAGCAACTATTACACAAGACTCTTCCTTCATTTGATGATTGCTACATCACGCCTCAAGATGGGAACATCATGTGAAACTAAGTGATTATTTTCTATGAAAAAAATATCAGGCATTTCTGAAACTTTCTTACCTTTTAATTTTTTTTAATTTAAATGAGTGATGTAGAAGTAAATGATCTATATACCTATATATTTTTCTTATGATGTTAGTAAGATTATCTGTGTGTCTCAGAACATTTTACAGTTGAACTTCGTTATCTTGAACACTGATACAGTCGAACCTTGTTATCTCTAACTCAAAGGGACCGAGGATAAACTTCGAGATATCCGAGGATTCAAGATATTGAGGGTACAATACTTAAAGAATAGTGGTTGGAACTTACAAATCACTTTGTCATATCCATGGTATAATTGAGATATCAGTGTTCAAGATACCAAAGTTCAACTGTATCTCAAATACCATGGATATGTTGAAATGATTTTGAAGTCACAAACACTAATTCCTTATGTATTTTACCCTTGATATCTTGAAACCTTGGATATATCGGAAGTTTTTCCTTGGTCCCCATCAAACTCCAGAAGACTTTATAAGTATTAGATTGCAGCTGTAGTATTGTTGAACGCAAAGAAGAATAGTACATTTTCAGCCCAATAAACGCTAGGCAAGGTAGTACATTGATTTCTTTGTTCTGAAATTTGATATTTTTATCGTAGTTATGATATATATCTAGCTATAGTATTCCATGCAATATTGATCCTCTATAACAAATGAAGCTTTTAGTCTTATATCATAAAACTTGTCTGGCAAAGTGTGAAACTCGAACCCCAGAACTGTTCATATGGGTATTTACTGCAAGACTACAGAATGAAAGTTCCCTGAGACCTTGCTAGGTTCTCTGTCTTTAATTCTTTATGACTGGTACAACTATGTAAATCAATACTATTTTACCAAACAGACAGGTTGTTTTATAGTTAGTTAATGGTCAAAAAATACACATGCAGGTAATGTACATATATCCTGATGTGTATTTCTGATAAGTATTCGGCAGTACATGGTTATTAGTTAGATATCCGGGCTCAAGTTCAAATACCAGACATGGCCTCATGCCATGAGTCAGACAATCAGAACCTGTCCCGGAACCCAGGGGGTACATATGTAGTGTGATAAGATTTCCCGTAGACAAGAGATTGTTTTTTCTCCTATGTCGGAACTTCATTACAGATAGGGAAGTATAATGATGAGTGTATAATCAAGAAGAGATAATAAAAAGTTTCTAAGCATGCAGGGGAATTATTAGAGTTTGTAGATTAAAAGTTCCTCTTGGTCAAATTTGTTAGGTGATACATGGTTGGTAAATGAAGAGTGTTGTTTGGTTGCATGAATCTGTTGATTACTCTAAAATGCAGCCAGTCAAGATAATTTAAAGTGTACACTTAAGGACTGTACTTGTTTCAAGCCTTGAAATTTCTCTCATTATAGTCAACTTTCTTATGAAAAGCATTTTTAATTTACATATATTTATCTTTCACTATTAATAAGATGTAGAAATGTTCCTAAATAAAATTACTTAAAATTTAAAAAAAAAACAAAAACATTACAGATGATTTGATATAGTCATTGATCAACAGTAAATTGTAATAAGATTGTCTGTGTCTCCTGATCAAGGTTTCTACAAATATAGTATATCCTATTTATCTATCAAAACATGGCACTTGTAATAAATCCTCATTTAAAAGAATACATTAATTAAATATTGTGCATTTCTGTGCAGTTTAAGTTTATGTAAATTTTGGAAGACAAAGAAATGGACTAAAAATGCAGTAATAAAGACTTGCGCCATTCCGCCTTTGTCAAGCTTATGTTCGCTATTGGTGCAATTAATATTTCCATGGAGGATTGATTCAATTTAAATGGTGCTGATTATGCACTTGCTATGTTTCTCCCACAAAGGATTTAGAAATAGATATTGACAGTATGTTGACACATGTCACAGTTATGTTCTTATTACTTCCACCATAAGAATCAAATTTATGCATTAGCAAAGGAAATGGGATTTTTTCCTGCCAAATATAGAAAGCATGTGAATTTGAAACCTGAAATTATGGACAATTGGTGCATATTGATTGTAATTTTATGGAACAGATTTTTGTGTTGTATTACACATTCATAAATCTGATAGTTCTAATGCATTTTTACTTTATTCTTTTCAGCTAATGACAAAATCAAAGACATTAAGTCCAAACCAAGGAGTACTGCCCAAATGGTAAGTCAATATTTAGGGAAAATTGGACACATCCTAGGGATGCATGCAGAGTATTATTTAATTCTTTAGAATTAAACTTGAAAACAAGTGCATGTTAATGAATGACAGCATGCAGAAAGAAAGTTATTTCTTTCATAAAGGGTACATTAAATAGGTTATTGCTTATATTCACATGTGACACATTCCATTTAGGTGCCTAGGCTAGAATAGAGTACTATTTCTTTTAATTGTGACCTTCTTTTTACTTTTTTACTACTTTAAGGATGTCATAGGGACTTTAAATTGTGCTTCCTTTTGACCAAAACACATTATATCCAAATAAAGAACATAATACAAAGTCTAAGGAATTCATGAAAGTTTCCTTCTAAGGGAATTCTTTTTATCAGGGTTTCACTGTATATGACTGACAACAGCAATGCCAATTAAGTTAGAGAAAAGTTTGTTGAATTTTTTTTAATACAAACTGAATAGGCTTCTGTGTTTTCTATGTTCTTTGTACCAGATGCTGGTTTCTTGATTGATAGTTAGACTGTTTTTCTGCTACACCTGTGGGTTAAGGTTATCCCCATATCAGAAAATAATACATAAAAGTATATTTTTAATATATTTTTAATACAATCATTTTCGTATTGTTTAAAATTAATACAGAAAAAATATATTATTTTTGTATCACCAACAAATAGGTAGATTATTTTTGTATTAAAATCTGACTTTGATTTTTTACAGGGTATTATTTTTGTATTTTTTGGGACTTAGATTATTTTCAGTATATCATTTTTGTATTTTTGTGGACTTAGTTTTTATCAAGTGTATTTTTTCTGTATTAAAATTGAACTTAGTAATTTTACAGAAAATTACATACAGTTAATCTGTATTTTTTCTGTATTAAAATTGAACTTAGTAATTTTACAGAAAATTACATACAGTTAATCTGTATTATTTTTGTATTAAAATTGAACTTAGTAATTTTACAGAAAATTACATACAGTTAGTCTGTATTATTTTTGTATTAAATTTGGACTTAATAATTTTTCAAAAAATACTATACAGTCAGCATGTATTTTTTTTATATTTATTTTGGACTTAGTGTTTTCTTTTACTGAAATTTGTATTTCTTTGAACATAGGAAAATTTACAGAATGTCCTTGCAATAAGTCTGTTGGAATTAATATTTTTTCTCAGATTTTATTAATTAAGACCACTGCTATAAAGGTTGCTTTTATACTATTTACATTTAATTGCTATTTAGAACAGAAAACTTCAGTAGTTTAAATTTGTTAACTAAACAATTTCATTTTTAAAACATGTCTTTACTAGGTGTGAAATTGTCATTTGGAAAGAGATATAGATACGTCTAAGGGGACACCTGTGCTGTACATGATACTTGTAAACACGCGGTAAATTTTGAAGTTTCAGAGTTTCAGACTTTCTTTTTGTGTTGAAAATTTTACAGCGTGTTTACAACCGAGTGTTTACAACTATCGCCAACAGCACAGGTGGCCACCTGCAGGTTAACAATAGACGAGTACATGTTATACTACTCAAAGAAATAACATGATTTACCTGTGAAAACACATCCCAACCAAAACAAAAACAAACAACATGGAGAGTTCCACTATGCACTAATTACAGTACCTACGATGTTTTCTTGACTATACAACTCAATTTAGTATACATTATATTTAATTCAGTACGTATTACAATTACATGGAATAGAACTATTTAATTATCCGCTTTTAAAAAAAAATTAAATAAGAAATTATTACGAAAGAATATCATAAAATAATATAGAAAATGTTGTGAAACTGGTGTAAAGGATAGTTGTTAAACATTATTTCAATCTCTGGTACCGTATGTATGAGTTAAGTTGTCCGTCAAAAAGGCTATATATTATGGATCTCCCGCTCGTTTTGATCATTATATTTGAACTTTATGGTCTACTTCACAGGTCAACTTGAATATAAAAATGGCTGCTCGCAGCGGAAATGATGACCGGAAATAACGATGTTTCGTAATCGGTAAATTCCGTAAGGAATAAAAAATGATTCTGATGATTAAATTGAACATCGTTTTTTTCTAGCATAATTTTACGTTTGTTCAATTGATTCAAGATATTTAAAACCATGTAAATATGTTTTCTCTAACTGTTCCGATCTCAACATCGGTAATTTTCGTATATATGACACAATATGATTGGTCAGATTTTAAAACTCTTCCGTACTGTTCTCTGATTGGTCAACAATATTTCACCCACGCCATTTTGAAAATTCTTCCCGGGACGTGTTGAGAAAGCTGGGGGTGATTTTGAATAAACTCTCATTTGCTCGCGAGTAAAATGGATCGAAAAACAGAAGTTCAGCATAATCATGGTACACAGGATCATATATGTGAACCAAGGAAAGCAAATACATAAGGAGACTGACGTTTTTTAGGCATCATATCCGGACTTTTCTGGTGTAAACAACGACAGTTGCGGTAAGATTATGTATATTTTAGCACATTAAAGTTTCAGTTTTTTAAATAATAACTTAGTACAAAGATAGAGGAACAAACAATGCCTTTTTTACCCATTTTGTAGTATTGTAGAAAGATAAAATAGTACGGTTATTGGCCATGTGGGGAACAGGGGTTTTTGTGATAAATATTGATTGGGGAGGGAGGGGTGGAAGATGGGGGTAATTTTCAAGGCTTTGGCTTCCTAGTTCTAATTCATTCCAATTTTTCAAGTTTACCAGAGACGAATTATTTATTTTCCCTTCAAAAACGATTCTGTAACTTGTATAAACTCAAATTTTTTCGAGGGGGGGGGGGGGAGTAGGTTGGGTTCGGGGGGGGGGGCAGTTTATTTAAATAACATTGGGGCACACATTTTGTTTACTCTTTCAACATTTTCAAGGACAGATTGTTTATTACAAATATTTTTTTAAAAATATTTTATAAATCAGTCCCCCCCCCCCTTTTTTCTTCTCCAGGTTGTCAAATCAAATGGTTGTCCCCTAAGAAACCCCAGATTAAAGAAAAGTAATTTCAATGGTACAATTGTATGGAATTTGGTGAACTCCGCTGGATCTTTTGGAATTTCAATTTATAATTATTGTTAATTTTAGTCAGCAGAACATTGAAGAAAAGCTGATTAGACATGGAGGAAGAAGATCCCTCTCAAGAAAGTATTGCAGGTGTGTGAGCTAAACAAAATCTATATAGAATTATTTTGGATGTGAAAATGTGTGTTTTGTTGAGGTAATGGTTCATTAAATTTTATTATTATATCATTCTGTTCTATATTTCACAGTGATGAAGTCAGATGAGATGACAGGTTGTGTGATTTGAAGATGGACTTCTGCAACAAAGTAAACACTCCTCTACCTTTATCATACAAAAGAAACAGCAAAGCAGAGAGATTGAAACATTTGGTAAAAACAGGATTAGTTAAACTTGTGAAAAATATCAAGACTATTGAAGAGCAGATTATATGTAAAAAGAAAGATCAAGACTACAATTGGTAGCTGAATCAGTAGCCTGGCCACATTAATTACTTTTTAATTAGCTATTTGTACATTTAAGGTAATCTGACTGAGTTACTAAAATTGTTATTTAACAAATATTTCAAATAAATAAAAGATTTTTGAATAACAATCAATAGATGCTATTAAGAACCTCAATCTCCAGCCCCTTTTCTTCAAATAACAATTTTTGCCCATGATCATTTTTGTAGTTTTTAAAACTCTGTTTTGTATTATTTTAAGCATTTAAATGTATTTGTTGTCTATCATTCTTGTACTTTTTTGATATTTTTGAAATACAATCCTTCATGCTGATAAAAATACAAAAACAATACATATTAATACAAAATTAATACATTCTATATTTTTTTCATACTTTTTTGTGTACTGTATTATTTTCATATTTTATATCTTTTTTGTACTTTTAATTGTTCCAGATGAAAAAATACAAAAATAATATATGTGATACAAAATTAATATATTCTATATTTTTTTTGTATTTTAATTCTTAAAGTTGAAAAAATACAAAAATAATATATGCTAATACAAAATTAATACATTCTGTATTTTTTCTATACTTTTCTATGGACTGTATTATTTTTATACTTTGGAGAGGAAAATAGAGAAATAATACAAAAGTACAAAAACAATACGTTTTTACAGGTCATGTGTATCATTTCTGTATTATTTCGAAAAAATAAAGTATATTAAAAATATATTTTTCTGTGTTTGGCTTTTAAAAAGTCTATTATTTTTGACCTAATTTGGAACCAAGATTTAGAGGGTTCCAAATTTGGTCATTAAAAATATACTTTTTTTGTATTATTTTAGTATTTTTTTCTTGTATTATTTTTGTATTCATTTTCGATATGGGTCATGTCAGAAACTTTCCCTACATAACAGATGCTCTTTCAATTGACCGTTGGTTTGGAATAAAAGAATAAGTTTTGCCTATGAAACAAAGGATGCTTTTTCCGTGAATTTATAAGTAAATTTTGATGTATATTTTTCAAGTTCTCATTATGGTCTAAGTATTTGAAGATGAGTTCCGGTCATGCAATGGCATCATTTTTTCACAAACTGTTTTAAGCATTTTCTGTTGGTAAAGAATCCTTGCTTTTCAAAACCCAAGATTTAATTTGATTGACACAAGAAAGATTAAAATTTAAATGACCATGATACAGATACAAGCAGGACAATAAAACATCTGTTTGACTGTTAAAATAAACAAACTCTTGATTGATACACAGAAAAGAGTCATTGCTCATCAGTGAATCATTTCTGACAGAAACAAATTCATAAACAAATGGCAGACATTTCTAATGACTACTGACAGCTCTATAACATATACTTATGATATTCTGATTGGAGTCCATCAGTGCAGGAATAGTTTCCTCATCCAGTTCTTTGTTTGACCCAAGAGTTCATGGTTAGGATTGTTTCAAGCTGTCTTTTATTTTGAATTTCAACAAAGAAAGATAATGGGAAAATTGTTGG